GCGGTGGAAAAATCTTCGTGCCGGCAGGGAATTTCGAATTCTCGTCGAAAACTCGTTTCACCGATGAATCGCAGTCCTCTCGATCGACCATTGCCCCCCACCTTTCGCCTACTCGTCGAAATGTAAACGCTTTTACGTTTATTAACGGACGAACCGACGAAGGAAGCACGCGCGTACCGAGAGTGACCGAGCCGTGGTTAAACGATTCACGGCTCGGAACGCGAAACGTTGTCGAAGAATTCGCCACGAGACAGAGAAAGAATGGCCGGAACGAAACGCACGGCAGGCGAATAATTAAAATCTGGCTGGTTAATAAAACACGGTTGCATGATTTTCCAGCGCGAGTATTTCGATGGAAGCCCGTCGAGAAACTGACTGAAATTCGCAGCTTCGTGGCCATCCGTGGTAGCTAGGAAACGGTATTATATATATATATATATACGTATCATTCTCTCTCTCCTCTGGCTTATGGGGTATAAAGCCTACGGGGCACGAAATTCGCGTACAGAGGGAGCCGTTTAGCAAACGCTATAAACCATCCTCAAAACAGACGTAGAAATTTCGTTATCGGAGGGTCGAAAATTGAAAATTTGATAGGATCGGACAAAATCGAGTTTCGCTTTTATTTTTCATTTTTTCACCATCCTCACTTTTCGGCTTCTCTTTTATTCCCTCCAAAGCGCAGTAAAACTTTAGCAGTCGTAATCGGGATTACGCGAGAATTCTTTATCCGAATCACCGCGTGTTTGGCAAATTGATATCGCTGTTTTCGTTATTTGGGGGCACTTCGCTCGGGGAAAAAGGGGAAGAAATAAATGAAAAATAAATGAAAAAGTAAACAAGAAAGATTGTTTAAAATAAAAACAATACGAGACGGGCGAAAACACGAATAATCGAGATATTTAACGCGTTGTTTTCGTTAGATCGTCAAGCGTAAGCTCGAATCCGTCACTGCGGCGATACCTAATCGGACGTCGAGGGGATAAAGAAGATGCCGCGCACTGCGCACACGCGATCCACCCCTCTGTTATAATTGCCAAACGCTAAGACCGAGTAATTCCTCTCTGGAAACGTTATTCCTGCGACCGAAAACGAACCGGGGACCGGAAACGATAATTTTCCGCTGCGACGCGATGCGTCTCTCGAATTCGCTATAGCAAGAAACGACTAGGAGCGATACGGCTGCCGAATATCACCCGGAGAATTCGTATCGGATTATCGCCGATGAATATATTACACCGCGCAGCGCGTCGTCAAATTTCATTCCCGTGTATCCTCGGGCTGGAAAGCAAACAGCGCAAAATATGATAAAGGAGAGCGGCGGGAATAAAAATTCTGGACGCGTTGAATAATGCAACGGGTCTGGGACATCAACTTTCCCGTCGGTCGCGATTCCAAGTTAGACGTCAGCGAGAACAATTCGATTTATGGAAGGGTACACGGCGCGTTTGATTTACGTGCCAAACAATTAGAACAACGTCCCGCGTCGAGTGATTTTGTCGCCGGGCCACGATACAAATTTTATTACGCCGTGCCCCCGAAATTACTGTTTATCCGTTCCGACTCTTTTCCCACTCATTTTCCACGCTTTTCCCGCCCTTTCCCAGCTCTCTTCAAACTATGGAAATCAGCGTGCAAAGCTATCGTTAGGCGATAACAATGGAATACACGGGCTGCACGGTTGCGAATTAAAACTCGAGCTAGGCTAATGGAGTCGTTGGTCGAAACGCGATCGAACTTCCAATTTTTTCCTCGGTTCATCGGCGGGGAATTAAATATTAAAAAGAGGCGGATGGAAAAATGGAGAAAGAAAAGCGCAACGACCACGACAATGACGATGGAAAAATCGAACTATACGGCAAGCGGTGGTGGTGGTGGTGGTGGTGATTGCAACGCCGAAGGGGTGTATCGAAATGGGTCGCGCGCGCAGAAGTTATGGGTATATACACGCGACAACGACACCACGCGAAAAATGCGATGATCCGCGCGCGTTCCAGTCGCGGATATTGCTCTTACGAGCCCGGCCCGCAGCGTCGCGACGCCGGGTCGAATTCTCCAGCGGGGATAGGTAATCGCGAGAACGTTCAACAGGACCCGGCGATTAAATATCTCGTTACAGCCTGCAACAGCCGGCCCGGAGAACTCGAAACTTCCTCGAGACGTGCGTGACGCGCGTAGAAACGCTCGGGCGGATATCGTCGTGCTCGCGCCACGCCTTCGCCTCGAATCGAAATAATTTGAAAGTAATTTCAATTTAACCGGGCCGACTCGCGAGACACTAATTACGCGAATGGCGGCGCGGAAGTTGGCCGGGAGAAAGTTCGTCAAAACTCGAGCGTAATTAGAAACCGGACGGTGCTACCTCTTTAAGGGAATTTCGCGCGACTTTGCGAGCGGAACGGCGTTCTCTCGCGATTTCGCGGGGATGCAACTCCGCCATCGTTCGGGAAATCGAAGCAGCAAGAGAATAGACGCAGTCGTATCGCGGTATTGCGACAAAGCTGACTGTCTGGAGTATGGAAATGGGACCCGGAGAGACGGTCCTTGTAATTCCGTACCACGACGAGAGGATTTCAAAGCGGAGGAATTCGGTTGCGTAAACTTGACGCGGGAGTAGGGTAATCGGGGCGTGACGTTGGTCGTTAACGAATCGAACGAATTCGTAAATATCCCTTGTAACGATCAACCAAATTCCGACATATTCCGACATATTCTGCGATAATTCGCCGTTACAACGGAGACGTTGATTTAATATCCAATTAAGAGTCGAAATTACGGTCGAGTTGGACAAACTCGCGCGTCCGCGTCGCTGAAATTTTAACGCTTTCGAGTTTCCAACAGCAGCGGGAATCGGAAACACATCGACCGAGGTTCGACGAAACGGAATGATGCCTCGAAATTTTCGTTTCTCTCGAGGAATGCGAAAAACAACGCACTTTTTTGAGAAACGAAGAAGATCGCGAGGAATACTACTCGTCCGATGACGCGGCTCCTTGAAAAGGGTAACTTTAATTTCATTCCACCCCCGGGGTTTGATCACCCCGATTCCTCCCGTAGAATGACTTCAATTTTGGTAATCAGCGGCATTCAAAGGGTACCGAGATATTCCTCTACGAGTTATGGAAACCTCCGTCTCAGCTCCTCGCCTGCCTCTTCCTTTCCCTGAACTACTCGCTGGCTCCTCTTTCGTTTCTCCATATCTTTTGCTCCGGCTTTCCAATCGGAAATCAATAACAACACCGCCGTAACAAACCCATTGTTTTCCGCCGCCCTCGTGAAATCCTGTCCCGAAAACTCTGTCCCGGTTCGAGCGACGATTTAACGAGTGAACCATTCGATCTCGGGAAAATCGGCCATCGCTGATCAACCGGTACACGCTGTTCTCTTCCTCCTCGCGAGCTAGAGCCTTCGACGGAGGAAGGGTAGTAGCCCACCAACTTTGGGACCGTTGCTGAGTTTCGCGCGCGAATTTTTCTCGCTGTTCGCGAAACTCGAAGTGGAAAATTTGAAATATCCTCGCGGTGCAATTACTTTCGATTCCCTGCTGAAATCGGGGAATAAGTGGAGCGAGTGGAAACAAGGTCGACGAAGAGGGACGAAAGAAGCGCTCGTTACCGTACCAGGTCCCATTGAGAGAGGTCGCGAAAAGGCTGCCAATAAGTCTTAATTAATTCGTTCGTTCGAGTTTTATCGAACACCCCCGCCGATTTGCTCGAAGCTGAAAAGATCACGACCGGCTATTGATACTGTACAAAGAAGACTTTATGCGTCCTTTCACCCCCGCTACTATTGCCGGAGCGATCAATGGGACAAATAAATAAAACTCGCGGGAAGAGAATAGAGTTTACTTTGCTTTACTTCGTTCCGCTTTTCTTTTGCTCGTTTCAAAGGAAAAAGGGGAAAGAAATTAACGTGGAGAATGCGATATCTGCGATGTAAAGCACGGGAACTATAAATTTTTCCTTGCCGGCACTGCTCCCGTTTCTCGAGCCTTAAACGAGCAAGAGGGTACTCGTTTCGAGGGATCAATTATCGCGAAAGCGACGATTGTTTAATCGCGAGGATAAAAATCCGGAGTCGCTTCGATCGAGGCTATAGAATTACGCGACCCGGGGTACTTCGCCAGGCTATTTCTAATACCTCCCCCCGTGAGGAACACTCCGAAAACTGGGATTCCCTGTTCCCTAACGAGGATCGATAGGAGCGGAGAAAATATTTCTTTTCCACGGCGCCGAAATTTGTTTCCCGTGGAGGGAGGAAAAAAGTCGTGGACGAGAAGCACGGCGTGCAACGGGGGGCAGAAAATCGACGGTCGAGCAATCAATAGTCTGAGCATAACTATTGCGCGTGAAGCAACAATGTATCGTCGACGCAGAGAGAGGAAGGCGTGGCAGCGTTCATTGGACCCTTAATGCCAATGCCAATGTCAGGGTTTTCCCGGTCAGTAACCCAGAAACCCCCACTCTCCACCCCCGGAAGCCGAGGAAAGCGCCATCGCTCTACACTTTCCAGAGGTGCGTCCGAACTACCCCTAAAGCTCGATTGCTAAAGCACGGAGGGTTGTACGACGATAACGCAGGAATCGCTTTACCCACCACGCGAGGTAAGGGTTGAAATTGCGAGACTGTTTCCAACCCTCGCGGATATCGCAGATCGTGCCATTGCCGACGCTCGAATTTTTACTTTCCTGCAGGTTATGGCACTCGATAAAACGGTACAGGAACGAGGATAAGGAAGAAAAACGAGACGAAACTCTGACCGAGGAAATGGTGTTTTAAAAAGTCTCTTCTTCGAGAATCGCATCGACAATGAAAGAATCTCGGCGGATTTCGAAACGTTCGTAAATATTTATAGCGCATTTTCCGAAACGCTGGGGGGATGGAAATTTTCATAAAGCTATCAGGGGCGATGCAAGATGCAACAGCGGCGCGTGTACGAGGGCGAACTTGGCGCCCCCAAAGTGGATAAGTTCGTGGTGCAAGCGGCGATAATCTGCTTACCATTTGTTTATCAAGCGCCTCCATAATTTCGCCGACATCGCCGACGACCACCGCTTGTTTTCGTAGCATCTCTTCCTCCACTGACAGCCAATCGCGTATCTGTAACGGAAACGAGACGACGCGTTGTAATTGACACACGATTTCATCTGCACTGCGTGTGAAATTTTCATCCGCGAGTTATCTCTCTGGTCGAAGCTACCCGGAGAAATTTCTAGACGGGGTAGAAATATTCGGGACTCGCGCGAGAGCGCGATGGAATGGAAACGGAAAGAAGTCATCGATCAGAGGGGGTGGAACGGAGAACGGGATAGGATCGAATGGAGTATTTAGAGCCGGAAATTAGCTGGGAGTGCCTGTCCGTAAGTGGCTCGCTCCGTATCCTGATATCGAGCAAGAGACAAGGGAAAATGTACCGATACACGGTTATTACAGCGAAAACATTACGCGCGCCACGTCCATTGTCTTTCGGGTATTGTTCCCGTAATTACCAAGCATTGTCCCTTGTAACGAGATTATCGTGGCAAAACGCAAATTCTACCGCAAATATCCACGATTCAATAACGACGGACAATAGTTTTTCCCCGTTGAAAGCCAGCAGAGGCGCAGATAATTAAATATCAAGGATACATAGATAGGCGCTTAATTACCGTTCCATTGGAGCAGGCAATCACCGGCCAATAAATGCGCTTCGATAACACCGCGATGCAGAAATGCTCGGCTATTCGTAAAGCCCGTGCTTCCCAATGGAGAATTATTAGCTTTGTACGCTATCTCGAAAGGCTCGAGCCATTCGGTATCCAGAGGACAACGTCGTCGTCGTCGTCATCGTTGTCGCGAGCGCTCGAAAGCTTCGCATCGAATCGGGCGAAGCGAAACAAAGCTCTGTCGTTTAGCCACCGATTGTGCGTTTCTTCTTTCGATCGGAGTAATCGACAACTCGTACGCTTTCATCGATGCGGGAACAACGGAAGTTAATTGACTGCTCGCTCGTTTGTCGGATATAGTCGACGTGTATCGCGTTATGTATCTAGGTTGAACGACCTCGCGCGTTTATTCGCTAGGCTTAATTTCGGAAAAGAGAAAGGGGAAAGGGAAAAGGGGGAAAGGAGGGTAGAGAAAAAGGGAAAGTTGTACCGCGAAGCGAACAGAGCGCGCGGTTGGAAAACAAGGAAAAAGCTGTTATCTCCGGTCGAAAAGGAAAGGACGTTTACGAGGCACTAAAAAGTGGCCGAACAATGATAATCGACTTCGGATGCCGAGTAACGCGGGCAGGAAACGGATGCTCGAGCACGACCGATGTTTCTACGAGTCGCGAGCGTGTAACTTTCGGGGGTAGGTCGATAAATCGCGAAAGAGATAAGCCGGAATGCTACAGGAAATTAAGGTCTCGCTCGGCCCGACATTTTCTCCCCCCGGGTCTCTCGGAGAGCTTCGTGTCTGAGCCAGTGTCCTTCCTCCCCGGCTTTCACTTTAGCCCTCCGCTTCCACGTAAAGCCGGCCTGATTAAGTGCATGTTGTCGAAGAACGATCATATCTCTCGTGTGGTTTTCTTCGCGGTGCACGTTTTTCCTCTTCTCCCTTTTCCTTCTTCCCTTTTCTTTCCTCTTTTTCCCTCTCGTCTTGAAAAGCCTCGACGAGAGAAGCCCGATGAAAATGAAAGGCCTAGACGTCGTCCCCCGGCAGTCCCGGGGGAGCACGCCGCGAAGGAGGGTGGAAGAATATATATATATATATATGTATACCGGGAAGAAAATATTCCTGCGAGTCCTCGTATATATGCCAGCAGACTTTTCACGCGACAGTAGCTTTGATATTTGACCCGTTGAAAAATGCGCCAGGGCCGGCGATGATTATCGCCCCGCGCATCTGTAGCTAGGAATTTCGTCGCGCCGCGAAAATTTCCAGGACGTGGTCGACGGGGCGAATATCGGCCCGTTCCCCGAGTAACGTCGCCCATTATTCTCCGTTGTTTTCCGGGGATTGCGACCCACCTTTGACGGACACGCCATCGGCGGTCTGGTACCCTTTCTTTCGCGCCAACTTCAAACGTTCTTCGCTTCCTTGGCTTCCTCGTTCGGTTTCGTTCGTTCTCTCTTCGTACTCGACTCGAAGTTGCTCGTGCAAGCTTCAAAGCGTCAACGCGTTCGCGTGTTTTCGCAAAGCCAAACGAACAATACCGTCGTAAACGTATTATGCCGGGACAATAGAAATTTTAAATTAAATTTGTTTCGCTGCGCCGGTACGTAAAAAGCTAGTCTTCCGCTGGGTTACTCGAATACCGTGTTACGCGGAAAGAGAGAGAGGGAGAGAGAGAAAGAGAGAGGACGATCGACTTTCAGGGAAGTTTATCCGCGTTCGCGCGAACGAGGACGAGCCCTCTCAGGAATCGAATGACGACGACTTAATTAAAAATATCACAAGTCGAACGATGAGCGCGACCCGGGCTGACCTATATCGTGCCTCTTCCACTTGTTCCGTCGTGTCACTCAAAATAAACGAGACTGATTAATTTGAAATATAAACGCAGCTGCGGCGAATCGATACGAGGTTCGACGACGGATGATGAAAGATAGATAGGATCCATTATATATCGGCACCCTTTCAATCGGCCCGGGCGAATTTCTCCGAGCGAAAAGAATTCGAAAATAATTCCCGGAGAATCGATAAGAGCGAGCGAAACTGCACATTTGCAGCAAACCGGCGGAGAAACGTTAATGGAAGATATTAAAAGATCAATCTCGAGGCTTCGAGATAACGGAAGGAACAACGGCGAACGATATTGGCCGAGTATCGATATTAAATTCTTCCGATGGAATCGAAGTTATTTTCGCGTCTAACCCGAACCCAACCGAATCGGATCGAATCGAATAGGATCGGATAGGATAGGATAGGATAGGGTCTGGTGGGATCGAATGGTGCACGTTTCGTCTCTGTTTCCTTCCGGCGAAACGACCGAAAGTTTCTGCATTCGCGGCGTACTTTTGCGTGAAAAGTTCAACGACTCTTCCCGAACATTCGACCGTGCTTCCATTCCGCGTCGTTCGGTATCGTTGTTTTACTTTACCCCCATGCATCGTTCTCTCGCAACAAAAATTCCTTTTTCCGCTGCCGCCCAACGAGCCGCGTTGTTCCGCCTCGTCGAAATGTTAACGTTTCGTGGGAACGGCGTCGAAACGGCAACGAAACGGCAACGGAACGATGGCGAAACGGCGACGAGGGTGGAGGGGAAAAAGAGGCGAAAATAGAGTCCGAATGAACGTAAATCGCGGACAGAATGAATTTAATATAGAGAAAAGGTTGGCACGGCGGGCGCAGGCGTGCCGAGCGCGTGAAATAGGAAAACATTTCGTCGGGGCGACCAACAAGAATCTAATAAGCTAGACACCACGGTTGCCTCAAAGGAAAATGGAGTACGAAATAGTTGCCGCTGCGCCCGGAGACAGAGAAAGAGCGGGTTTTGGGCGAAACTGTGCGACAAGGTGGAGTACCGGTGGCGAAACGTGACACACGATCGAGGAGAGGACAGAGCGGACCGCGGGATGAAAAGGAGCGGACGAGTTTCTGGCGTGGAAATAAAGAACACGCGTGCCCCTCTATCGTGAATGGGAAAACGTGGTTTAAAAACCTCGGCGGCTGAACGTAACGCGAATAAATTGAGGCTTAAATTGAGCCCGTTTAAAAAATTCACCAACCTAGTTTCCCGAGTGTTCCTTTTGTTTGTCTTTCAGCCCATTCGTCTTTCTTCGCTGGTCGCGCAGAGAACCGCAGCCGCGAGCGGAGAGGCGGTGATGACCGACTTAATCGATTCCGCGAGTAGCGTGCACGAAACGAGGCCTAACGCCGGGCAAAATAGAATTTCATTGGCAACTCGATCCCTGCTCGTGTCTCGTTACCTCGAAGCCTCTCGTCGCTTTATGCAAACAGCACAATACTTGTCAGCGAGACAGCGTAGCCGGAAATGGAAGAAGGGAGATAGCTGTTATGACGTCGGGCTACGACGGCTGGAGTCTGACTGTTGACTCGGCAAATAGGAAAAGCGTACCGTGGAATCGACACAATGCACCAGCAGATGACAATAAAACCTATCCGTGCAAGATAATTACGAATTTTTTCTTTTTATCTAGGCCGTTCGACTAGAAATTCGCTTATGCAAGCTGCAAAGTGTCACGCTGCCCCGAAGACACGCTTTCAGCGAAACTGGTGCAAAAGTGTTTCCATTAAGGACACCGACTGGAATTTAGAGCGCTATTTTTGGAAATGCCAAGTTTCGCGTGTTCCAGGGAAAGTTCATAGCGCCACACCGTAGCCTAAACTTTTAACCACCCGGCTGGAATTTTCGCCTCGACGATTTTCGTCTCGATCGATCCACGAATTCGGGGCCGAGACGTCGCTGCTTTCAGATCGATCGAATTTAGCGCGCCAATATTTCCGAGGTATACTACGAATTCTCGCTTCGACGTTTTCGGTCCATTCGTGGAAAAAATAGCCGCGGAAAACGGAGAGGAAAGAGAGGAATTAGTCGAGATGCATAATTAAGACGTTGCCGTTACACCGTGCACGGCGAGTTACACGGTGGCTTTGTACCGCGTGACAGGCGACATTATCAAGGCAATCCATTTACATAGAATAAACGAAGAAACAAGCGAACACGCAAAGTACCCTCAACAGGCGGGAACAATATAGCAGGCGCGACGAGTTAAAAGGGGCTTGATAAACCGGTGCTCGGATCGTTGCACAAAGCTTCATTGCGGAGGAACATCCGAGGATGATGTAATAGCGAAGAAATTGCACCGAAAATAAGGTAAACGAAAACAATACGTGGATCGTGTTACCTTAATACACCCTTTACAAACTGCCATTCTTTCCGAGACGTAACTCTCTCCGCCTACCGGAAAAAGGATTTAAAAGGTTTTAATAAACTGCCGGAAGACGGTAAAGGAGGATGAGAGCGAGAGACAAAAGCCGGAAGAATTTTTCACGGATGTTGCTCCTTTCGTCGATCCGGTTATCCGAGCTTCAAAACTCGAAAACCCTCGAAAAGAAACGCCGTTGGTTCGATGGAAACGAGTCGCAAAAATACGCGAGCCCGTTGCGATCAAATGGCAAACGTCGCTTTGACAAACCACTGGAATTGTTTGCAGGGAAAAAGACACTCCTCGGAAGGACACGCGTCGTGGAAATAGAGTCCGGGCGCAGCGAGTAGTACAAACGCGTAATAAAGTCGGCAGACCGGGCATCGTGCAACACGGCGCGGCACGAGCAAGAATTTCATAAAGGAGAAACGCGAAATTCGGTTGAAAGACGAACAGGGCTTCCCACCGCGGGATTTGATTTAAGGAGAGAGAGAGAGAGAGAGAGAGGAGATAGCAGGAAAGAAAAGGAGGAGGGAAAAGGGGGAAAAAATAGGAGGGGTCCGAGGTTACAAACGAAAACCGTGTCGAGGAAATTTCTCGCGTCCAATTCCTCGGTATTTCGGGCATCCTGTCGGAGCAGCCTCTTCGATAAGAACGTTCGAGGGGCTCGAGTATGGGACGAATGAAGATCAGGACGCCGCGAAGGCAGAGAAACGGGAGAGTAACTCGATAAAATTGACCGAGTTATACGGCTGCATGAGCGGTACGGCACTCCTGCGTCGTCTCCGTGCTGTCCACCGACATCACGCAAATCTAATTCCTGTCCCTGATAACCGAACTCATGCCGAGCGTGGCAGAATATTCCGCCAGGATCGCGCTTCTTCCGAATTTTCCCCTGTCGACGTATTTCAGCCAGAGCGCGCCCCATTCTCGGTTGGATAAGAAGACGTATGTAGGTGTGGAGAAAGCCCTCGACGCAACAAATAATCGTAGCTGATGCTGCGAAAACCAACGAGATTTCCTCGAAACACGCGAGCCATCGCGCTTTCAGACATCTTCGTCGATATTTCGCTTTTAAACTAAATATAGTTTAAATACGTCGAATCGTTGTTTCGTTCCTGCCCTACCCGTTTTCCCTGGCCGATGGTGCACCTAGTTTTTGCTACTCCGCGAAACGGTATATGCATTCCCGTTAAAAAATATCGATGAACCGGAACAAGTACCGAGAGATTTTTGTTTACTCGGACCGCGTTTTCCAGACGAGTGGAAATCAATCGGCGTCCGAGCGGCGAATATCGAAAGGGGAATTAATTTCAGCGACGCCGCGCTAATCCGGTTAGACCGTCCCTCCTACTTTGAGAAGCATAGAACGCGCGTTACCCCTTATTTCCACGAGCAGATTGCGCGTTGCCACGACGCGTGAATTTAAATGTCCCCGACGACTGAGCCCCCGAATTCTGCCAACCCCAACCACCTAACTTCGCGGAACGCGCATCGAAAGGACCGCATTCGCGATCCGGAATAACGTTTACGCCTCGCCGTCTGGCTCTCCGCGTTTCCCCGAGTTTTCGTCGAAAAAGCTCGCCTACCACCGCGAATCGAGACGAAAGCACGAGAAGAAAGAACGAGAATAAAGGGGAGCGAATCGAAACGAAAGAAAAATTAAATTCCGGGAATACAGTTAAGAAGGGCGAAAGAACCGTGATGCTGAAGCGGAACTCGTGGTGGAAATTTAGAGGCAGCTCGTACGAGGACCATCGTTTAACGTATTTTTTCGTCCACGTCCAACTTGCACGCGCCACCCTCCGGCACGTCCATCCGTTACGCTGCCATATTCTCGTCACTCTCTTTCCACGTGGCCGTAATTTATGAGCTTTAATTAGCCAAGATGCCCGAGGCCAGCCAGACCAGCTTCTGCATTATCGTAACTAACCCCACCGCAGTCGTATCACTGTTACCCCCGTGGACCCACCCTCCCACAGCTGGCTCGTTGTCGTGCTCATCCTCCACGAAGACGGCCAGCAACCCCTGTTCCCGGCTCGCGCCACACGCGACAGCGTATCGAGTCGAGGAAATTTCGCCTACGCCATTAGCAGCTACCACGATCCTTTCTTTTCTCGTTGTTTCGCGCGATATCGATCCGAAGCGATTATTAACCGCTTAACGGGCAACATATTTCTTCGTACGTTATCGTTTCGATCGTCGGTCGGGGCAGGAGTCGGTGACCCTTTGTTCCGCGATACAGCCTGTTGCTCCGCGCAATTTACTAGGGGTGGTTATCGTTTTACGCGGCGAATTCTCGAAAATTTCCGACCCTCTTCGACGCGAGACAAAACGTCTAAACGAGCGTGGTATAAATATCACGGATACTTTGGCGAACATGAAAATCTCATCGAGGGTCGGACGGTTGGAGAGGACCGTTAAGGGGTAGTTTTCGTCGTACAAAAGTGATTTATCGTCCGTCGGTTGTAAACTGTTATTGAAGGCGATATACATTCTGGAATTTCAACGCCCCTGTACAGGGTGGACGACGGTTCTCGTCGTACGATGCGGAGAAGAGGGGAAAAATGTGGCAAATAATCGTGATGACCGACTTACCTGTAGCACCGATTTGTCGAAGCCAGCTACGAGGGCAGAGGGCGAGGAAGAAGGCGAGGGTGAGGACGACGGCGAGGAGGTGTAGACCGAGGGACTACTGGTAGTAACGGGGGTCGAGGGTGTCGAGGGGGCAGGGGAAGGTGTCAACCCCCGAGGGCCCCCTGCAGTTGCACCCGATGCCCCCGGTGCAGCTCCTGCAGTTTTGTCGACTTCTGTAACAGAAAAACGAGAGATTTCGTTAGGCAATTATTCTTCTAGAAAAGACAGACGGAATTAGTGGTTTCTCGAATGACTATAAATTCTACAAATTAATAACGGGACTGCTGAAGCAATCGACGACTACGAAATCCGGAAATCCAGTGTCTCGTCGTGATTTAATACTCGTCGCGACGAATTACGGACCTTCTCCATTTTCTACCCCACAAGTGGAGTAATCGAACCAAGATCCCGATGAAATTACACTTGAACAGAGTTTGGCGTTAGGACTATCCACCAGCGACCGATATTTTTGGCATCTGGCAAGTGGAATCGATATTCTCCACGCGAACGACGCTCCACGTAGTACCCTGGGGCGAGTTCACGCGTGAATTATATGGGGTAAACGTATTAAAAACCGTCGTGACCCATTTCGAGGCCAGCACGACGGAGGCCTCTAGGTTCGGCCCGACCAACGGCGTCGAGGCAAGAAAACTTGTAATTTTCCGGTCGGTCGGCAACATTGTATTCTTTCTCACGCGCGGCAATAGATAATAGGGACCAAAGAGGGGGTGGTGAACTCGGACCAAAGGAAGTCGGGACGGAACGGTTTCGAGGCACGTACCCGGGCCAAAGGCACGGTCAATTCATTGAATAGGAAAGTAACTTTCATAGTTTATAAGTTTACCCTCCGAACTCGCTTCGGATCGAGTTAGCGGGAAGACGCTAGGAAGACTGGGAAAAGGGAGACAGAGAGCGAATTCACGTCAGGATCTCGAGCGAAGAATCTTCGAAGATGCGTTTAATATGCTCGGCTCTAATGTAATTGAAAACTTTCGGGGATTCGTTTTCGTGGCGGTCGATTTGCAACGCCTCTCGAGAACTCGAAAGCCCGGTCGGCCGCTCCATAAATTACTGTCCCGATGATCGAAGCGGTTGAAAATATTCCTCCCGTTTGCATCGCGCTGCTCTCCGCGAGATAACATTTCGAGAGGCCGCCCAATTAGACGGATCTCCGAACCGCGGCCAGCCGTTCCCTTGATTTATTATCTCCCGCGGAATTTTCACGCTAATAATTTCGCCGAGCGTCCCCGCTCAGCCCAGGCCAACGTATTCCCGCGGTCGGGACGGCGCGATGCGCCGCCATGGCATTAAACAGAGGGTAGAGGAAATAAAGTCGAAAAGAAAACCAGCCCCCTGATACCGCTTTAGTGCCCCGCCCGTTTCGGTCGCGAAACTTCTCCGGTAGCTTTCCCGTGTTTACGGTCCCCGTCTACCTGGCCGCGCCGTGTTCGGCGGGATTAATTTCGTTAACGCTCGTCCTCGACAGGGGTGCGGTTGCTTAACCGCGGTATCCCTGCTGCTTGTTCTTCGCTTCGTGTTTATGGATCTTCCTCCTCGTTTCGCCTCGCACAGTCACGCGACTCGTATGCCGAAAAGGCGTCGAATTCGCCCGTTTGCTCGAGGAAGCAAGAGAGACGAGACTCGGGTAACGAGAGTTTGGAAAATTTTCAACGAACGTCGAGCGGAAAATTTACCATCGAAACGACCGGTTGGTAACGAGGACGAAGCGTTATCGTAAAGATTTATCGCGTCGTAAAAAAATTACCAATCTCCGCTCTATCTCGCGACTGTCACGGTTATCGAGGCGTTCGTGCCCCTCGCGAAGGATCTCGAACGCGACTGATACGCCAAGATACGCCCCTGGAGATCGTAACTTACGCACGGGCGTTCCTCGGAATCCACTTTCGCGGCGGCCATTATATTTTTATTCGCCGAGCTTTCGCGTTCCCGACAGTGCCGGGCTATGACATTATCTTAACAACCGGAGGGGGGACAAGCTCGTTTTATTGCTGAATTTCGTTACGTTGCTGCCTGCAGTCTGCAACGGAAGTCGAGAGGCGAAACGAAGGCAGGTTTAAGGAAACGGGACGAACGACAGAAACTCGTTTGCCCGCGTAATTACTCATGAACCGTTCGACTTTCACGGACGAAGAAATATTTCTCGAGCACCGAGACGACGTATCTGGACGTATTCGACGAAAAGCTTCTCTCGTTCCTGTCCTCGCGGTGTCGCCAACAGGTTAATCGCGGAGCAAGATCTCGCAGCTAGACCTCCGACTTTTCTCCCTCCGTCTCGTTGTTAAAATAAAGCAGGAATTTATCTTACGGGCTCGAATTTCTTCGCGCAAGTCAAATATTTGCCGACGATTTATTTAAATTTACGGAAATTTCGAGAACATCTCTGCCCGGGGTACACCTCCGTTCGATAACGCGAATGAAAATTTATGGCCGGTCGAAGGGACAAAAGGGTCAGGATTAACATCGAACGCCTCGACTAATCGCGAAACTTTCCATCGATAATGCGCGAGAATCGTTTTAAACGACTTTAACGATCTCGTCGAACAGATCGAACAGATCGGAAATTTATAACTCGAGGCTTGGACCCCTCCACGCTCGAGTACGGAAGGCTCGGTAATACTGCTAGATTCTACCGAACAGTCCTACTCGTACAACGAGCTTCTCCTGATCGATTTATTAACCGAATCGGCGGATAAAAACGCGAAACGGCAATTAAAGCGTCCGAGATTGCAGCGACAACTTGCTCGTACAGGTGTCAGACGAAGTTATTCCTGACGCGGAGGTTAAACAGCGAAATTAACGGCGGACCGGTGTCGCGCGATTTATGGGGCAACGCGAAACTCCATGATACACTGCACGTCCGTATTTGCGTGCGTGCACCTGTACCCTAGCTCTCTCGATGCCCGGACGAGAGCCGGAAGTTGCCGAAGCGCGGGTAAGACGGAAGCTACTCGCCGCGTACAAACCTCCGAGCGTATCTCGAACTTCCATCATAAGTTCGCCCTGCAGCTAAGTCCTTTTCGCATTCCGAAGTTGGATAGTCCCCGAACCAGTCGCGCAACTTGAGTTACACGCTAAATACATAATAACAATGCTCGCATAAAGCCCGAGCGCACCGACCCCCGCTGCCACCCTTACATGCCGTGTAGTCCCATTAGATTATGCTAATCGAGAAGGAAATCCCGCCGCAACGGGAAGAAACGGAACGTGCGAACGCCGCTTAAAATTCTCCTCGGCTTTTGTTCTTTAGGGGCTTTAGCGGCTGACGCGTACACTCATACGTGACTCGTATCGCAAGACTACTTTTTTCTCTCCGCGGAATGAAGCAAAAAATTTCGCATGCGCGACAAAATGTCGCAGGTACGTGTGCGTGCGTGCGTGCGCGAGTACGCGCGTGTAACGCGGCCGAGCGTTCCGTTCTTAGGCGGAATAAATCAAACGCAACCCCCATGGGGAACGTTTGTCATGCAAGGGATCCGCCGTTTGACTGGCGCTAACCTCGCGGATCGAGAAACCACGACTGGGGTTCGTGGAATTTCGGGGTTCGGCTCGATTTCTATCCAATTAAGGTCCGTTCGATCACCGCGCCGTCAAAACAACGCGGGTACCAACGCGGAGTATTTCGCGCACGGTATTCGCCGCGTGGCAGACCGCACACCCTTCTCCTTTAATTCGGAATCTGTAACGCGGGGACCGGTCCGCGAAACGGCGTTGAAAGAGAGGGTGCTTTCCGAAGAGGACATTCGTAACACTTGTCGCCGCGGCAGCTGCCAAGAGGGAGTTATTGCTCTCTCGTAACAACGGCAACAGGGGTGGAACTTTTCCAACGGCGCGCCGTCAACGGGAATCAGACGCCTGGCCAACGTCGGTCTTTGAAAACGCGTCAGCTCTTTATCAAAGCTAACAAGAAGCGTCGACTGCCGCGTCGCTCCTAACCGAGTGGCTGTCGCGCGAGGGAATCCATCTTCTCGCGCAGCTCAGCCCTCCTGCTGCTTGCTCGTACATGCGTAAACGCGTGTCCAATTGCTCCATCCGACGAGCGATCGAAGAAACCACGCGACCAATTCCTCGCTAATTTCCTACGTCAACCTGTCGTCGTTGTACCTGACATCTTTTCCACGATCTACGCAGCATCCCCGTTCTTTTATCCGCAAACAAACGGAATCGTGTCGATTTCCATGTAGACGCAACGATCCCTTTACCGTATCGCGACGAACGCCGTTATATTCCCCGGTGTCATTTGTGCGACGAGCGTCACGCGATTTATTCGCACGTACGAAGCGCACTGTGTAAGACGAGCTCGGTGACTGAACGAAAGGGAGAGAAAGGGAGAAGAACGGCGAGAAAGTGGAAGAAGAAAAGACGAAAAAGAAAGAGGGAAGTGAAAAATAGGACGAATTTGCAGCGAGAAACATCAATTCTCACTGGCAGTAGTTTTATTCCGTGGAGGCGGTGGCGGCCCGGGCAGAAGAAGCGAGCGGAGAAAGCGACCAGGGTACTTGAAGCCCACTTCCTGGTGAAAAATAGGAAAGCCACGCGGCGAGCTTAGCTCGACCGTCCGTTCGCCTGTCCGCCTGTCTACCAGGGGGGATAAGTGATGCGACAGTACGGGCCGGGAACCAGGGGAACGAAGCACCACCTCGACGAGAGGAGGGAGAGAAAGAGGGCTTGGAGAACTCTCCGGGACGGACAAGGTTAGAGAAAGTGGGGATAGCCAGTGAATGAGAGTGATAGATTGCGCGACGCCATCCCCTGACACTCTTCCAACCAAAGGCCAGCTCGCCTATTGTACTCCGCGAGCCGGAACCCAATGGTTGGACAATCTAGACTTCCGTTCCGCTAAACGCGGCCACCCTCCAGCCCCTGCGCACCCTTGCTGTTTGTTTCCTTCCAAGGACTTTATACTCCCGGTCACAGCGGCAGAAACACCGGTGACACCGACTTCGTCGAGGGGATGATATCGTATATACGCTAGCCGTCGTCCTCGACGCGTGAACGAATCGGTGTTTCCTCGTCGATTAAGCGGTTTAGCGGATTTACGGTGGATAGAACTGGAGTAAATAATAAGGGGACGGGGCGAGAGTGTACGAGGAACGGAGGCGTAATCGAATTCGAAGAACGAACGTACCAACTTGTTAATTATCCTACGTGATCG